TGTGTGTGAGAGAGAGAGAGAGAGAGAGAGAGAGAGAGAGAGAGAGAGAGAGAGAGAGAGAGAGAGAGAGAGAGAGAGAGAGAGAGATGCAGGTGAGGTTTTAAAATTAGACAGACAGACACACATGCACCACCTGTGCATTCATACGTCTTTCGTTGTTGACATAGTCACAGCGTGCATCATGTGATATGCTTTGTTCATATTGGTGATTCGATTATGCTTCTGGTGTGTTGATTGACCAWGGTCTGGTGAAGCTATTATATGTGTGTGTGATTGTGAGTGTATGGCTGTGTGTGTGTGTGTGTGTGTGTGCGTGTGTGTGTGTGTGCGTGTGTGTGTGTGTGCGTGTGTGTGTGTGTGTGTGTTTCCCACCACCGCCCGAGGCCCACCCACCGCACCCCAGTTTGTTCATCGCCTTGGAGGCCAAATCATGAATGACACACAACCACACAAACAGTGAATGAAGTTCAAACTGTTCAGTGGACAGTCGAATGGGAGTCCAATGTGATTTTCGCAAAAAAACTCCCATATTTGAACATGTTGGAGTGCGAGTTTAGCGCAATTTTTTTTTTTTTTTTTAATAAAATAAAAAAAATCGGACATTTGCCGGTTTATCCGGAATTCCGGATAAACAGGGGGCCAGATAATGCGGCTGGATATTCCGGTCACTTAATCTGCCGGAAATGATAAACAACCCAGATAAAAACAAATCAACCAAGCAGTCATTAGATAGAATTGCCTGTGTGTCTGCATGCGTGTTTGCCTGCATGTCTGCTTCCGTGTATGCCTGCCTATCTGCCTGTCTGCCTTCGTATCTCCCCGCCTGTCTGTCTGCCTGTCTGCCTGCCTATCAGCCTGCATACATGTCAATGTGCCTGGCTATCTCACTGCCTGTCTGGCTATGTGTCTGCATGTCGGTATGCCTATGTGTCTGCGTGTTTGTCTCCGTGCCTGTCTTCTAGTACATGCTTGCACCTGGGCATGCTTGCCTGTTTGTCTGCTGCATCCTATGCCTGCCTGTCTGCTTCATCCTGCGTGCCTCGACATAGCTGTCCGGCCTTCCCCGGGCCTGTCTCTTTGGCCTACTCCTAGCCTGTGTTCCCGGTACAGGCCCGGGCCCAGACCCAAGTCAACGGCGACCTGGCCAGACCAGGGGTCAACGGCCATACAGGCCCGGGCCCATACCCAGGCCAATGGCGGGATGCGGCTGGGACTTGCACCTGGGCATACAGTTCCGTGCTAAAAAAAAAAAAAAAAAACAGGTTTGGGCCCTTTTGATTGATCAATCAATCAATCAATCGATCAATCAATCAATCGATCAATCAATCAATTAATCGATCAATCAATTTGATTGATTTCAATAAAAACAAATCAACCAAGTAGTCAGTAGATAGAACTGCTTGTGTGTGTGCATGCGTGCTTCCCCTACATGTCTGCTTCCGTGTGTGCCTACCTATCCGCCTGTCTGCCTTCGTATATCCCCGCCTGTCTGTCTGCCTCGTTGCCTGCCTGTCTGCCTGCATACATGTCTGTTTGCCTGGCTATCTCACTGCCTGTCTGCCTATGTGTTTGCATGTTTGTCTGCCTATGTGTCTGCGTGTTTGTCTTTGTGCCCGTCTTCTACATGCTTGCACTTGGGCATGCCTGCCTGTTTGTCTGCTGCATCCTATGCCTGCCTGTCTGCTGCATCCTACATGCCTCCGCATAGCTGTCCGGCCATCCCCGGGCCTGTCTCCGTGGCCTACTCCTAGCCTGTGTTCCCGTTACAGGCCCGGGCCCAGACCCAAGTCAACGGCGACCTGGCTAGACCCAGGTCAACGGCCATACAGGCCCGGGCCCAGACCCAGGCCAATGGCGGGATGCGGCTGGGACTTGCACCTGGGCATACAACTCCGTGCTCTAAGAAAAAATAGTTCCGTGCTTAAAAAATAAAAATAAAAACAGGTTTGGGCCCATTTGATTGATCAATCAATCAATCGATCGATCAATCAATCAATCGATCAATCAATCAATTAATCGATCAATCAATTTGATTGATTTCAATAAAAACAAATCAACCAAGCAGTCAGTAGATAAAACTGCTTGTGTGTCTGCATTCGTGTTTGCCTGCATGTCTGCTTCCGTGTTTGCCTCCCTATCCGCCTGTCTGCCTTCGTATATCCCCGCCTGTCTGTCAGCCTGTCCGCCTGCCTGTCTGCCTGCATACATGTCTGTCTGCGTGACTATCTCACTGCCTGTCTGCCTATGTGTCTGCATGTCTGTCTGCCTATGTGTCTGCGTGTTTGTCTCCGTGCCTGTCTCCTACATGCTTGCACCTGGGCATGCCTGCCTGTTTGTCCGTTGCATCCTATGCCTGCCTGTGTGCTGCATCCTACATGCCTCGACATAGCTGTCTGGCCGTTCCCGGGCCTGTCTCCGTGGCCTACTCCTAGCCTGTGTTCCCGTTACAGGCCCGCGCCTAGACCTAAGTCAACGGCGACCTGGCTTGACCCAGGTCAAAGACCGTACAGGCCCGGGCCCAGACCCAAGCCAATGGCGGGATGCGGCTGGGACTTGCACCTGGGCATACAGTTCCGTGGTAAAAAAAAAAACAGTTCTGTGCTAAAAAACAAAAACAGTTCCGTGCTAAAAAAAATAAAATAATAAACAGGTCTGGGCCTATTTGATTGATCAATCAATCAATCGATCGATCAATGAATCAATCGATCAATCAATCAATCAATTGATCAATCAATTTAAATGAATACAATAAAAACAAATCAACCAAGTAGTCAGTAAATAGAATTGCCTATGTGTCTGCATGCGTGTTTGCCTGCATGTCTGCTTCCGTATATGTCTGCCTGTCTGCCTGCATACATGTCTGCCTGCATGGCTATCTCACTGCTTGTCTATCTATGTGTCTGCATGTCTGTCTGCCTATGTGTCTGCATGTTTGTCTTCGTGTCTGTCTTCTAGTACATGCTTGCACCTGGGCATGCCTGCCTGTTTGTCTGTTGCATCCTATGCCTGCCTGTCTCCTGCATCCTATGTGCCTCGGCATAGCTGTCCAGCCTTCCCCAGGTCTGTCTCCGTGGCCTACTCCTAGCCTGTGTTCCTGGTACAGGCCCGGGCCCAGACCCAAGTCAACGGCGACCTGGCCAGACCCAGATTAATGGCCGTACAGGCCCCAGCCCAGACCCTGGGCAATGGCGGGATGCGGCTGGGACTTGCACCTGGGCATACAGTTCCGTGCTAAAAAAAAAAACAGTTTCGTGCTAAAAAAAAAAAACAAAAAAAGGTCTGGGCCCATTTGATTAATCAATCAATCAATCGATCGATTAATCAATCAATCGATCAATCAATCAATCAATCAATCAATCAATTTGATTGATTTCAATAAAAACAAATCAACCAAGCAGTCAGTAGATATAATTGCTTGTGTATGTGCATGAGTGTTTGCCTGCATGTCTGCTTCCGTGTATGCCTGCCTATTTGCTTGTCTGCCTTCGTATCTCTTCGCTTGTCTGTCTGCCTGTCTCCCTGCCTGTCTGCCTGCATACATGTCTGTCTGCCTGGCTATCTCACTGCATGTCTTCCTATGTGTCTGCATGTCTGTCTGCCTATGTGTCTGTGTGTTTGTCTCCGTGCCTGTCTTCTACATGCTTGCACCTCTGGAGGAGAGAAGGTTAACGACACCTCTTTTTTTCACTACGCTAGAAGTTCACGACTCGCAGTTTCAGGCCTTCACAACTTTCACCACTTCACCCTCTTCACTTCTTTCATCTCTGTCCAAGCCAAGGGGAAGGAGGGGCAGTTTCAGGCCTTCACTACTTTCACCACTTCAACCTGTTCACAATTTTCATCGACGTCCAAGCCAAGGGGAAGGAGGGGCAGTTTCAGACCTTCACTACTTTCACCACTTCAGCCTGTTCACTATTTTCATCGCCGTCCAAGCCAAGGGGAAGGAGGGGCAGTTTCAGGCATTCACTACTTTCACCACTTCACCCCGTCCACTTCTTTGATCGCCGTCCAAGCCAAGGGGAAGGAGGGGCAGTTTCAGGCCTTTACTACTTTCACCACTTCACCCTGTTCACTTATTTCATTGCCGTCCAAGCCAAGGGGAAGGAGGGGCAGTTTCAGGCCTTCACTACTTTCACCACTTCAATCTGTTCACAATTTTCATTGCCCTCCAAGCCAAGGGGAAGGAGGGGCAGTTTCAGGCCTTCACTACTTTCACCACTTCAGCCTGTTCACAATTTTCAACGTCGTCCAAGCCAAGGGGAAAGAGGGGAAGTTTCAGGGCTTCANCGTCGTCCAAGCCAAGGGGAAAGAGGGGAAGTTTCAGGGCTTCACTACTTTCACCACTTCACCCTGTTCACTTCGTTCATCGCCATCCAAGCCAAAGGGAAGGAGGGGTAGTTTCAGGCCTTCACTACTTTCACCACTTCAGCCTGTTCACAATTTTCA